CTCTCGGGTCTCTCTCTGGTCTCTCGGGTCTCTCTCTGGTCTCTCTGGTCTCTCTCTGGTCTCTCTCTGGTCTCTCTCTGGTCTCTCTCTGGCCTCTCTCTGGTCTCTCTCTGGTCTCTCTTTGGTCTCTCTCTGGTCTCGCTCAAGTCTCTCGCTCAGGTCTCTCTCTCTATCTGGTCTCTCTTTGGTCTCTCTCTGGCCTCTCTCTGGTCTTTCTCTCCGGTCTCTCTCTGGTCTCTCTCTCAGGTATCTCTCTGGTCTCTCTCTGGTCCCTCTGGTGTCTCTCTGGTGTCTCTCTGGTGTCTCTCTGGTGTCTCTCTGGTCTCTCTCTGGTCTCTCTCTGGTCTCTCTGGTCTCTCTCTGGTCTCTCTCTGGTCTCTCCCTGGTCTCTCTCTGGTCTCTCTGGTGTCTCTCTGGTCTCTCTCTGGTCTCTCTCTGGTCTCTCTCTGGTCTCTCTCTGGTCTCTCTCTGGTCTCCCTCTGGTCTCTCTCTGGTCTCTCTCTGGTCTCTCTCTGGTCTCTCTCTGGTCTCTCTCTGTTCTCTCTCTGGTCTCTCTGGTCTCTCTCTGGTCTCTCTCAGGTCTCCATCTGGTCTCTCTGGTCTCTCTCTGGTCTCTCTGGTCCCTCTCTTGTCTCTCTCTGGTCTGGTCTCTCTCTGGTCTCTCTGGTCTCTCTCGGGTCTCTCTCTGGTCTCTCTGGTCTCTCTCTGGTCTCTCTGATCTCTCTCTGGTCTCTCTCTGGTCTCTCTCTGGTCTCTCTCTTGTCTCTCTGGTCTCTCTGGTCTCTCTCTGGTCTCTCTGGTCTCTCTGGTACCTCTCGGGTCTCTCTCTGGTCTCTCTGGTCTCTCTCTGGTCTCTCTGGTCTCTCTCTGGTCTCTCTCTGGTCTCTCTCTGGTCTCTCTCTGGTCTCTCTCTGGTCTCTCTCTGGTCTCTCTTTGGTCTCTCTCTGGTCTCGCTCAAGTCTCTCGCTCAGGTCTCTCTCTCTATCTGGTCTCTCTTTGGTCTCTCTCTGGCCTCTCTCTGGTCTTTCTCTCCGGTCTCTCTCTGGTCTCTCTCTGGTCCCTCTGGTGTCTCTCTGGTGTCTCTCTGGTGTCTCTCTGGTCTCTCTCTGGTCTCTCTCTGGTCTCCCTCTGGCCTCTCTCTGGTCTCTCTTTGGTCTCCCTCTGGTCTCTCTCTGGTCTCTCTCTGGTCTCTCTCTGGTCTCTCTCTGGTCTCTCTCTGTCTCTCTCTGGTCTCTCTCTGGTCTCTCTCTGGTCTCTCTCTGGTCTCTCTCAGGTCTCTCTCTCTGGTCTCTCTCTGGTCCCCCTCGGTCTCCCTCTGGTCTCTCTGGTCTCTCTCTGGTCTCTCTCTGGTCCCTCTCTGGACTCTCTCTGTTCTCTCTCTGGTCTCTCTCTGGTCTCTCTCTGGTCTCCCTCTGGTCTCTCTGGTCTCTCTCTCTGGTCTCTCTCTGGTCTCCCTCTGATCTCTCTGGTCTCTCTCTGGTCTCTCTCTGGTCTCTCTGGTCTCTCTCTGGTCTCTCTCTGGTCTCTCTCTCTGGTCTCTCTGGTCTCTCTCTGGTCTCTCTCTGGTCTCTCTCTGGTCTCCCTCTGGTCTCTCTGGTCTCTCTCTGGTCTCTCTGGTCTCTCTCTGGTCCCCCTCGGTCTCCCTCTGGTCTCTCTGGTCTCTCTCTGGTCTCGCTCTGGTCCCTCTCTGGACTCTCTCTGGTCTCTCTCTGGTCTCTCTCTGGTCTCTCTCTGGTCTCCCTCTGGTCTCTCTGGTCTCTCTCTCTGGTCTCTCTCTGGTCTCCCTCTGATCTCTCTGGTCTCTCTCTGGTCTCTCTCTGGTCTCTCTGGTCTCTCTGGTCTCTCTCTGGTCTCTCTCTGGTCTCTCTCTGGTCTCTCTCTGGTCTCTCTCTGGTCTCCCTCTGGTCTCTCTCTGGTCTCCCTCTGATCTCTCTGGTCTCTCTCTGGTCTCTCTCTGGTCTCTCTGGTCTCTCTGGTCTCTCTCTGGTCTCTCTCTGGTCTCTCTCTGGTCTCTCTCTGGTCTCTCTCTGGTCTCTCTCTGGTCTCTCTCTGGTCTCTCTCTGGTCTCCCTCTGGTCTCTCTGGTCTCTCTCCTCCTTCGTTTAGGCTCCGTGTGGGCGGGGCCTACACAGCCTACGACTCACCACAAACGAGCTGTTCTTTGGTAACAGGAAATGACATCATCCTTCCTGTGCAGCCCATAGACCTAACTAATGATAACCAAGCAATAGAATGAACTCAGAGGGAGCTCTGACTGCAGACCCTGCTCCCTCATGACCATAGGTGAGGGAGCTCTGACTGCAGACGCTGCTCCCTCATGACCATAGGTGAGGGAGCTCTGACTGCAGACGCTGCTCCCTCATGACCATAGGTGAGGGAGCTCTGACTGCAGACGCTGCTTCCTCATGACCATAGGTGAGGGAGCTCTGACTGCAGACGCTGCTCCCTCATGACCATAGGTGAGGGAGCTCTGACTGCAGACGCTGCTCCCTCATGCCCATAGGTGAAGGAGCTCTGACTACACACGCTGCTCCCTCAGGACCATTGGTGAGGGAGCTCTGACTGCAGACGCTCCTCCCTCATGACCATAGGTGAGGGAGCTCTGACTGCAGACGCTGCTCCCTCTTTACCACCCCTCCTGCTCCATCCTTCTCTCACTCGTGAACAAGACCCCTCCTGCTCCATCCTTCTCTCACTCGTGGGGCTGATGGCACATGGTTGCCTCGCTTCTGTCAGTCTGCCCCAGGGCAGCTGTGGCTCCTCTCTTCTGTCAGTGTGCCCCAGGGCAGCTGTGGCTACAGTAGTAGTTTATCACCACCGTGTTTGGAGAGAATGAATAATGACACATGTGAAGCTTCTTTGAGTGTCCAGAAAAGCGCTTTATAAAACCGATGCATTATTATTATAATCCAATCAATTTATTTATGTAGCACATTGTATAAAACACGTTTCCAAAGTGCTGCACAGATAAAAGTAACAGATTAAAATATAAAAGTCTGCTTTAAATAAAAATAATGAAAATAAAGTAAAGAACAATTAAAATAAAGCAATTAACTATAGACATCTCTCTGGTTTCTCTCTCTCTGTCCTCTCTCTGGTCTCTCTCTCTGGTCTCTCTCTGGTCTCTCTCTCTGGTCTCTCTCTGGTCTCTCTCTCTGGTCTCTCTCTGGTCTCTCTCTGGTCTCTCTCTGGTCTCTCTCTGGTCTCTCTCAGGTCTCTCTCTGGTCTCTCTCTGGTCTCTCTCTGGTCTCTCTCTAGTCTCTCTCTCTGGTCTCTCTCTGGTCTCTCTCTGGTCCCTCTCTGGTCTCTCTCCGGTCTCTCTCTGGTCTCTCTCTGGTCTCTCTCTGGTCTCTCTCTGGTCTCTCTCTGGTCTCTCTCTCTGGTCTCTCTCTGGTCTCTCTCATTGGTCTCTCTCTGGTCTCTCTCTAGTCTCTCTCTCTGGTCTCTCTCTGGTCTCTCTCTGGTCCCTCTCTGGTCTCTCTCTGGTCTCTCTCTGGTCTCTCTCTGGTCTCTCTCTGGTCTCTCTCTGGTCTCTCTCTCTGGTCTCTCTCTGGTCTCTCTCTGGTCTCTCTCTGGTCTCTCTCTGGTCTCTCTCTGGTCTCTCTCTCTGGTCTCTCTCTGGTCTCTCTCTGGTCTCTCTCTGGTCTCTCTCTGGTCTCTCTCTGGTCTCTCTCTGGTCTCTCTCTGGTCTCTCTCTGGTCTCTCTCTCTGGTCTCTCTCTGGTCTCTCTCTGGTCTCTCTCTGGTCTCTCTCTGGTCTCTCTCTGGTCTCTCTCTGGTCTCTCTCTGGTCTCTCTCTGGTCTCTCTCTGGTCTCTCTCTGGTCTCTCTCTGGTCTCTCTCTGGTCTCTCTCTGGTCTCTCTCTGGTCTCTCTCTCTGGTCTCTCTCTGGTCTCTCTCTGGTCTCTCTCTGGTCTCTCTCTGGTCTCTCTCTGGTCTCTCTCTGGTCTTAAAGGAACAATAATGAAGTCTTTCTGGTCGTCCTGTCGAACCATCAATCAATCTACTTTTATTTGTATAGTGCCTTTCCTACACACGGCAACACAAAGCACCGCACAACACACATCAGGCACACATCATAGTCAGATCTACAGAACATTAAACACTTACAATCCCAAAGGGCATTAAACACACAATGGGATCCCAAGAACATTTAAAACATCAAAATAAAATCACACAAGTTTTTAAAATCATTAAAATCACAGGTTATTAAGAACATTAAAGTTATTAAAAACATTAAAACATTAAAATCATAAATGTAGCCAAAGTGCACCTAAAATAAGGTTTCTTTTCAAAGTTTGAATTTCCTGGCTCTGGTCAGGACTAATGTGGTCATACTTCCTGGTTTTAATCAGGACTAATATGGTCGTACTTCCTGGTTCTAGTCAGGACTAATATGGTCATACTTCCTGGTTCTAGTCAGGACTAATGTGGTCATACTTCCTGGTTCTAGTCAGGACTAATGTGGTCATACTTCCTGGTTCTAGTCAGGACTAATATGGTCATACTTCCTGGTTCTAGTCAGGACTAATATGGTCATACTTCCTGGTTCTAGTCAGGACTAATATGGTCATACTTCCTGTGAGCAGCCATTGCAGAAGTGAAGCTAAATGTTCATCTTTAAATAAGAATAAAGTTTTTCCAACAATGATCCGTGGCAAAGAGCCCCATGTCCTCGAACCTATGTCCATCTGAATCCAGTCGTTTTGTTTCCTCTGGAGAATGAAAGAGAAAGATCGCTCTCCAACTAAAGCTCGAGCGAATCAATGAAAAAACTACTAGAACTGTGATGATGTTTTAAGCAGAGAAAGGTCCAAAAGTGGAATATGGGACCTTTAAGGCTTATGGGGAATATGTTATAAGTGCCACAAGTTCCTGATTGAAGCTAAAGGTGACGGACCATAAACAGGGACCATCGACAGAGTGTGACATCACCATCGACACCATCAATGTACAGATATATTGATATTTACTTTCTGCTTTTATGAAGACATTACAGCGAGTTAAGAAGAAGTATTGTATTGTCCAGCAGGGGGCGCTCTCCTCAGATCCACCACAGACACAGAGGAACCTTCAGACCTCAGTCCAGCAGGGGGCGCTCTCCTCAGATCCACCACAGACACAGAGGAACCTTCATGCCTCAGTCCAGCAGGGGGCGCTCTCCTCAGATCCACCACAGACACAGAGGAACCTTCAGACCTCAGTCCAGCAGGGGGCGCTCTCCTCAGATCCACCACAGACACAGAGGAACCTTAAGACCTCAGTCCAGCAGGGGGCGCTCTCCTCAGATCCACCACAGACACAGAGGAACCTTCATGCTCCAGTCTAAACCCAGGAAACACAGGCTCAGAGAAGGAGGAGGTGAAGGTGCCGAGGTGGAACAGTTCTCCATCAGAGACGACCTCATAGAAGGACAGAGATCCAGCCTCAGAGTCCAGGAACACAGACACTCGACCTGAGGAGGAGGAGGAGGAGGAGGAGGAGGAGAAGGAGGAGGAGGCTGTTTCTCTGTTGTTGTGATATAAAAAGTAACCTCCATCATAGACCCTCAGATCTCCAGGACTGATCATTTCCAAACCCACTCTCTTCTCTCGTCCCTCTGCGTCTGATTCCTCTGTGACTCACTGCGATCACAATGCCCCCCCCCCTCCCCCAGGTCCAGTCCACCTCCCAGTAACAGCGCCCCCTCAGGCCAGTGCTGCTCAGGACCTGTGGCTGGTCTGTAAATCTGTCCTGATGCCCTGGACACTGCTGCTCCTCTGTCCCTCTGGTCACTGTCCGTTTGTCCTCAGACAGTTTGAGGATTCTGTGAGCCGAGTTTGGATCCAGAGAAAACGCACAGGAATCTGAGGAAAAACACAAAACAAGAAGAAACATCAGCTCCAGACGCTTTAACCACAGAGTAAAGATAACTTTATATAAATAACTTTATATAAATAACTTTATATAAATATCTTTATATAAATAACTTTATATAAATAACTTTATATAAATAACTTTATATAAATATCTTTATATAAATAACTTTTATATAAATAACTTTATATAAATAACTTTATATAAATGACTTTATATAAATGACTTTATATAAATGACTTTATATAAATGACTTTATATAAATGACTTTATATAAATAACTTTATATAAATAACTTTATATAAATAACTTTATATAAATAACTTTATATAAATAACTTTTATATAAATAACTTTTATATAAATAACTTTATATAAATAACTTTATATAAATAACTTTATATAAATAACTATCTAAATAACTTTATATATATAACTTTATATAAATAACTTGTATATAAATAACTTTTATATAAATGACTTGTATATAAATAGCTTGTATATAAATAACTTTTATATAAATGACTTGTATATAAATAACTTTATATAAATGACTTTATATAAATGACTTTATATAAATAACTTTATATAAATAACTTTATATAAATAACTTTATATAAATAACTTTATATAACTTTATATAAATAACTTTATATAAATAACTTTATATAAATAACTTTATATAAATAACTTGATATAAATAACTTGATATAAATAACTTGATATAAATAACTTGATATAAATAACTTGATATAAATAACTTGATATAAATAACTTGATATAAATAACTTGATATAAATAACTTTATATAAATAACTTGATATAAATAACTTGATATAAATAACTTGATATAAATAACTTGATATAAATAACTTGATATAAATAACTTGATATAAATAACTTGATATAAATAACTTGATATAAATAACTTGATATAAATAACTTGATATAAATAACTTGATATAAATAACTTGATATAAATAACTTTATATAAATAACTTTATATAAATAACTTGATATAAATAACTTGATATAAATAACTTGATATAAATAACTTGATATAAATAACTTTATATAAATAACTTTTATATAAATAACTTTATATAAATAACTTTATATAAAGTGAATGAGAAACTCACACTTCCTCAGTCCTGGAACCATCCACTGTTCTCCAGCAGGATCCAACCTGCAACACACAAGGCACTTTAGACCAGGACCAGAGACCAGAGACCAGAGACCAGAGACCAGAGACCAGAGACCAGAGACCAGGACAAGAGACAAGAGACAAGAGACAAGAGACAAGAGACCAAGACCAGGGACCAGGGACCAGGGCCAGGGACCAGGGCCAGGACAAGAGACAAGAGACAAGAGACCAAGACCAGAGACCAGAGACCAGAGACCAGAGACCAGAGACCAGGACAAGAGACAAGAGACCAGAGATCAAGACCAGAGACCATTGACCAGAGACCAGGGACCAGGACCAGGACAAGAGACAAGAGACCAAGACCTGGACCTGGACCTGGACCTGGACCTGGACCAGGACCAGGACCAGGACCAGGACCAGGACCAGGACCAGAGACCAGGACCAGGACCAGGACCAGGAGCAGGACCAGGACCAGTACCAGGATCAGGACCAGGACCAGAGACCTGGACCTGGACCAGGACCAGGACCAGGACCAGGACCAGAGACCAGGACCAGAGACCAGAGACCAGAGATCAAGACCAGAGACCATAGACCAGAGACCAGGGACCAGGACCAGGACAAGAGACAAGAGACCAAGACCTGGACCTGGACCTGGACCAGGACCAGGACCAGGACCAGGACCAGAGACCAGGACCAGGACCAGGACCAGGACCAGGAGCAGGATCAGGACCAGGACCAGAGACCTGGACCTGGACCTGGACCAGGACCAGGACCAGGACCAGGACCAGGACAAGAGACAAGAGACCAAGAGACCAAGAGACCAAGACCTGGACCTGGACCAGGACCAGGACCAGGACCAGGACCAGGACCAGGACCAGGGACCAGGGACCAGGGACCAGAGACCAGAGACCAGAGACCATAGACCATGAGACCAGGGACCAGGACCAGGACCAGGACCAGGACAAGAGACAAGAGACAAGAGACAAGAGACAAGAGACAAGAGACAAGAGACCAAGACCTGGACCTGGACCTGGACCTGGACCTGGACCAGGACCAGGACCAGGACCAGGACCAGGACCAGAGACCAGGACCAGGACCAGGACCAGGACCAGGACCAGTACCAGGATCAGGACCAGGACCAGAGACCTGGACCTGGACCAGGACCAGGACCAGGACCAGGACCAGAGACCAGGACCAGGACCAGAGACCAGAGACCAGAGATCAAGACCAGAGACCATTGACCAGAGACCAGGGACCTGGACCTGGACCAGGACCAGGACCAGGACCAGGAGCAGGACCAGGACCAGGACCAGGACCAGGATCAGGACCAGGACCAGAGACCAGAAACCTGGACCAGGACCAGGACCAGGACCAGAGACCAGAGACCAGAGACCAGAGACCAGAGACCAGAGACCAGAGACCAGAGTCCAGAGACCAGGACCAGAGACCAGGACTAGGACCAGGACCAGGACCAGAGACCAAGACCTGGACCAGGATCAGGACCAGGACCAGGATCAGGACCAGAGACCAGGACCAGAGACCAAGACCTGGACCTGGACCAGGACCAGGATCAGAACCAGGACCAGGCCAAGAGACCAAGACCTGGACCAGGAGCAGGACCAGAGACCAAGACCTGGACCAGAGACCAAGACCTGGACCAGAGACCAGGACCAGGATCAGAGACCAGGACCAGAGACCAGAGACCAGAGACCAGGACCAGAGACCAAGACCTGGACCTGGACCTGGACCAGGACCAGGATCAGAACCAGGACCAGGACCAGAGACCAAGACCTGGACCAGGAGCAGGACCTGGAGCAGGACCAGAGACCAAGACCTGGACCTGGACCAGAGACCAGAGACCAGGACCAGAGACCAAGACCTGGACCTGGACCTGGACCTGGACCAGGACCAGGATAAGAACCAGGACTAGGACCAGAGACCAAGACCTGGACCAGGAGCAGGACCAGAGACCAAGACCTGGACCTGGAACAGGACCAGGACCAGAGACCAAGACCTGGACCAGGACCAGGAGCAGGACCAGGACCAAGACCTGGACCTGGACCTGGACCAGGACCAGAGACCAAGACCTGGACCAGGACCTGGACCAGGACCAGGAGAAGGACCAGGAGCAGGACCCGGAGCAGGACCTGGACCAGGACCTGGACCAGAGACCATTGACCAGAGACCAGGGACCAGGACAAGAGACAAGAGACCAAGACCTGGACCTGGACCAGGACCAGGACCAGGACCAGAGACCAGGAGCAGGACCAGGACCAGGACCAGGAGCAGGACCAGGAGCAGGACCAGGATCAGGACCAGGACCAGAGACCAGAGACCTGGACCTGGACCAGGACCAGGACCAGAGACCAGAGACCAGAGACCAGAGACCAGAGACCAGAGACCAGAGACCAGAGACCAGGACCAGAGACCAGAGACCAGAGACCAGGACTGGACCAGGACCAGGACCAGAGACCAAGACCTGGACCAGGACCAGGATCAGGACCAGGATCAGGACCAGAGACCAAGACCTGGACCAGGAGCAGGACCAGAGACCAAGACCTGGACCAGAGACCAGGACCAGGATCAGAGACCAGGACCAGAGACCAGAGACCAGAGACCAGGACCAGAGACCAAGACCTGGACCTGGACCTGGACCAGGACCAGGATCAGAACCAGGACCAGGACCAGAGACCAAGACCTGGACCAGGAGCAGGACCTGGACCAGGAGCAGGACCAGAGACCAAGACCTGGACCAGGACCAGAGACCAGAGACCAGGACCAGAGACCAAGACCTGGACCTGGACCTGGACCTGGACCAGGACCAGGATCAGAACCAGGACTAGGACCAGAGACCAAGACCTGGACCAGGAGCAGGACCTGGACCAGGAGCAGGACCAGAGACCAAGACCTGGACCAGGACCAGAGACCAAGACCTGGACCTGGAACAGGACCAGGACCAGAGACCAAGACCTGGACCAGGACCAGGAGCAGGAGCAGGACCAGGACCAAGACCTGGACCTGGACCTGGACCAGGACCAGAGACCAAGACCTGGACCAAGGAGAAGGACCAGGAGCAGGACCCGGAGCAGGACCTGGACCAGGACCAGGACCAGGACCAGGACCAGGACCAGGACCAGGACCAGGACCAGAGACCTGGACCAGGACCAGAGACCAAGTCCAGGACCAGGACCAGAGACCAAGACCTGGACCAGGACCAGGACCAGGACCAGAGACCAAGACCTGGACCAGGACCAGGACCAGACCAGGACCAGAGACCTGGACCAGGACCAGAGACCAAGACCAGGACCAGAGACCAAGACCTGGACCTGGACCAGGACCAGAGACCAGGACCTGGACCAGGACCAGGAGAAGGACCAGGAGCAGGACCCGGAGCAGGACCAGAGACCAAGACCTGGACCAGGACCAGGACCAGAGACCTGGACCAGGACCAGAGACCAAG